TTCACAATTATCACAATTCACAAAACCGAAATAACCTCGCAAGACGAACACAACACACGATTGACGTGATTTCTGGGAAAAAAATGGCTGCGAATTGACCGGAAATGGCTCTTTTCTTGCATGTTTTGGAAGAGAGTAGCACTGCAATCAGACACTCATCAGTCAACGGCCTGTTGACCGCTAGTTGACGAACTAGTGGTTGAAATTTCGTCACAAGGCACTCGGCTCCGCTGAACTGGTAGTTCGCCTCAACTACCAGTTGATCAACTAGCAGCTAACACCCAGTTTGACAGAAACGGCCCCTAAGGCGTAGCAGAGACTTTATAATTGATAGCCGAGGGTCGTTGCCCATCTGCGGAACTTCGACCTCGATCGTGGAGATCTTGGGGCTCCCGCTCATTGCGGCGGTGGGCTGGGATATACCCAGTGAGTCTAGGTGGGCTTCCATCGCCGATTTGAGCTTGCTTTCTGCTCTGGCTATGGCCTCTTGGCTAGGGGCCGGCGACTTGCTCACGGTGGATGTAGCTGATTCTTTTCTCATTGGCTGATTCTTTAGAAAATTTTCTAGCAGAATTACCATCGTTCGTGGTACCAGCTCCTTGTTTCATTAGCAAATTTCCTGTCAGAATTACCATCGTTCGTGGTACCAGCTCCTTGTTTCACTTGCTCCAGGATCAGCCCAAGGCGTTCCTGGGCTATTCGCCGAATTTCCTTTTTTCCTGGATGCTACAATGGCTTTAAACTCGGGATTTTTGGCCCGTCATTTTTCGAAAAGTATTCTGTAAGCAAAGTGCAAACAGCACTCCATGAATCTAATAATGAATCTAATGTCTGTGTAATGAATCAGTAGAAAAACAAGGGGGAAGAACGGGGAAAAAAGCTGAAAATACACTGAGTCAATTTCAAACAAGGTTTTCAGTCTCCGGCTCTTGTAGCAAAACACCCCCTAGTGAGTCGGAGAAGTGAAAAGGTACGACGCCGATATGACTTTCATCGTGAAAATCCGTAACTTTCGACAAAGCAGTCTTCTCGTTGGTAACTATATCGACTTTCGCAGCGCAGAAATTGATATGAACTGAAATGTGCGCTATGCATGGGCGTATATCACGGGCCATGGCATAAGCGGAGGGGAAAATATGGGGGTGGCTCTCAACATAGCGACCATATTTATGTTGGATTACAAAATTGATACACACACTGAACATTTAAAATTACATATATGTGCTGGCCACTCACAAAGAATCTCTCAGCAGCTTCGGTGGTGGTACGTGGAACTGCAGCGAATAACTGGAACTAAAATCCTCAGCACATCACATCGACATTTAAAAACACTTAAAATCATTGGCTGATTCTTCATAAAATTTTCTGGCAGAATTTCCGTCGTTCGTGGTACCAGCACCTTGTATCACTTGCTCCAGGATCAGCCCAAGGCGTTCCTGGGCTATCCGCCGAATTTCCTTTTTTCCGGGATGCATTTATCATTACCATATCCCCCATTGCCCTATTACTCTCCTCAGCACACCTATCGCAGAACCACATTATATTCCTCACATATTTATTTAAAACCTCCAATTCAGTCTCCCCCATTCCAATACATTTAATGTGGTGTAGCCCCCAATTACATTCAACACTGTCACACCGAATTGCCTTCTCATTCTCCTTCACCTCACACCCACATTCACTACATGTCCCCACACTATTATTACCAATCTCCATATTCTCCATCCTCGTATTCAATAATTCGTCCTCCAAATTATCCTCTAGCGTGCAATCCGTTAGTGTCCTCTCCAAATCCCGCATATTGTCTCTGTTCCCATCACTCGTTACAATCTCTTGCTTCCCACTACTTATCCTTATCTCATCTTCCTCGTCCCCCATTATCTTCACAACTCCACCTTTGTTCTCAATTACCTTCTCTTGCCTAATGATTTCCTCACCCATTTTTAGTTTCAACTTTTTTACTTTTGTCACTCCCTTTCTTTTATCCCCAATCAACCTCTCCTCACTTCTACTCCTTGGTGGCAACCTTACCTTAGGTGTCCCCGAGCCTACTCCCACCTCGCTTCTCACACTACCAGACCTCAGTTTTTTTCCCTCACTTACATTCGCCGGACTATCCCCCATTTTTTCTTTCCCCCATCCCCCGCTGGGCTATCCACCTTACTCTTCCCTAGATCCCCTATCTTTTTCCTAATAGCACTCGCCATACTAAATTGATTCACTCTAACCTCTACCACACTATCGTTCGTTTGTCCAGCCACACGCTTCACACACACAACAATCACTAGTTACACTCTAAGATCACTTACCCTACAAGATCAATCACGTAATCACGTAATCACGAGATCCACGAGATACGCGTGTAGGTACCTTCCCCGATGGCGCGCGAAGCAGAACGAGTATCATTGTATCTTCGATAATAATGTAACTTTGTATACATATAACAACATTGTTAACAACATAACATATTATAACAACATTGTTCTTTTGTTTTTTGTTTTTTTCGGTGGTTGAAAAAGGGTATGTGAAACCCGAAACGTCCCGTCAAATTAATTTTATTTACAGCCTGTACCCCGTGTTCCTCTCATTGCATTTACATATTTTGGGCTGATGAAATTGTTACCTACTTGAATAGCAAGTGCGGGAAGGTATAGGCTTTCCCGCCAAATCCACGACTGCCTACAGGTTTGGCATAGGAATCATGAATTTACACGAAATTGCCAGATTTTTAACTTCAAATATCTCCGAGAGTCGCAAAATCTTTTTGGTGGGATTGTAGTTGGATATCTGATTATTTAGAAAATGTTAACCACCAAGAGCATTTTTCGTTTCAAGCGAGAAATCTTCATTTGAGGTGAACGTCTTTTTCCCGTGCATTTCTTATGAGCCATTGATTCTCGACCCATTATCCGCCCACTTTTTACCCAATTATGAACTATTTTTGTGCAAAAAATTTGACAATGAACCATCATTGTGAGTCGGAAATGTCATGAAGATGACAAACATCCCAAAAAATATTCAAATGTCGAGTTGTGAATCTTGGATTTTTGTCCACATGGAGCCGCAGTGTGCGGTGTACCCGCCGGTGGAAGCTGGTTAACGGCTGGGGTCAGGTCGCCACTGAATTTTTTTCTTATTTTGTTGTGTTTTTTGCAGCTGAGAATGAGCCGGTAACGGCTCGNNTCGCGAAACGTCCTGCCTCTTAGTGTTTTTAAGTTTTTAGCCTTGTTTACCCGCATGTTTTAATTCCATCCTCATTTATTTGTATATACGGGCTATGCTTTTGTGTTTTATCGTTTGAATACATCGTAGCATAGTTTGAGCAGACTTAATCTCAACTTGCCTCAAATTTCGGAAAGAAGAGGCAAATTACAGTGCGTTGATAACAGCGCAAAGACACATTCATTCGTGCTTGATGGGTTTCGTGTTGCATCTACAAAATTGAAGGCGCGAGGAGTGAGCTCGCATTGTTCCACTCCATGCTCCCGATGAGGCGCTCAGATTTGGGAGGAAAGTTCAAAAGAAGACCCCTACTGTTCCTGTTTCAGCTGTGTTGTAACTCGATTTTGCCCTCGTCCATTCAATTTGATGTCTGATTTTTTGGAAAAAAACACATCGGATCGAGAGTCCAGACTCTTAAAAACATCGACAGGAGAAAGTACTCTTGATGCAATCGGATTTTTGCTTAAATCAAGAACCAAGCCTCTTAATTTGAGCTGATTTCCTTTTGGTTTCAGCTTAGATCGGATTGAATCAAGAGTAATTTTTCTTGTCAATGTTTTCAAGAGTCTGGACTCTAGATCTAATGTGTTTTTTTTTTCCAGTGCGCCTTTCATTTTACACTTTAAGCGTTGAAACTTCATTGATTACTTTACAAAACTAGTGTCTAATTTTAAAAGTCGAAAATTAAAAAAAGCGGTAAAAAAATTACATGATACACGAGTTTCTCCGCCAGGGAGCTCTCTCCGTGAGAAATCGTTCCCAACCCGTTCGCCGGAGAGCTGCGGCGTGCCACCAGCGCAAAACTTGCACTGACGCCTACAAACCTAACAGGGATACTTCACGCATTGCGCAATGCTTGAAGTATCCCCTTAGGTTTGTAGGCGTCATCACGCATTGTGCAATGCATAACAGGGCTCACGTCGTAATGCACACAGTTCCGTTTGGCAGAAATACGTTCAATGAAGACTGAAAGAGATACGCCTTCTTCATCCTCAGTGAAAGTATGTGATTTTAAAGTGAATCGGTGAGAACGGAAACACTCCAATTCGGTAACTCGAAAATACTCAATTTCTACTAAAGACAGTTAATTTACATCAAGGTCGTCGAAGTTGGCGCTTCTGCTCCAACCTGGACCTTTAAAGTGGCCATAAGTTCTTGTCTTTCGGCAGCAGAAATCTTTCTCTTTAACTAACTTCCTCACCTACTGCGCAGTTTTGTGTGTATCTTAATTACTCTCATTTTTCCGAGTTGATGTATTTTTGTTTTACTGATTCAAGTATCACTAGGTGGTTACGCTCCCTGAGAGCTTTGCGGGCAATTTCCGAAGCGCCTCAGCGTTATACGTCACGCAATACTGCCGTGTTGAGGAAAACCGCCGTATGAACCTCTGGGCGTTGCCAAATTTCCTTCGATAAAAAATGAGTTTCCTGGCAAAATTGTCGTAATTTTTCTTTAAATTTTTCAGACAATTTTGTTCGCAATTTAATCTTAAAAATCGAAATAATTCAAGGAAAAATAAACGTAACTTCCCGCTAAAAACATGTTTTATCCGGAGACATTTGGCAATTCTCGAATGTTCATACGGCGTTTTTCCGTAGCACGGCAGAATACCTGTGAGATTTTTTGCTACAGTAAATTTTTCGCCTTTTCGGAAAATTACTTCTGCATGACGGGTGCAGAATCACCTCCCTCTTACATCGTATACTATTGGAATTTTTTTTTTTTTTTTTTTTTTTTTTTTTTTTTTTTTTTTTTTTAATTTCAATTTTTGGACTTACCTTCGGCAGTTTTTCTGGAGTTTTCAGATGTAAAGGACCAACTTCAACAACATTCGGACCTAGAAGTCGTGGATAATAGTAGAGCGGGTTACTTGCTACCAGCGCCAGACTGACATTAGACCAGCAATCATCTGCTAGCTTCTCAGATCCCGAGCCATACATTTCCTTGAGATAACCTCTGACAGAGGTGTCGTGTGCCCGTCTGTATGCAGTCCCGACATAATAGTCCGCAAACCAGTTGTCCATTTTTTGCCAGAGATTCATCCGGTTCGTGTAATGGTTGAAGACAGACGGTTTGTAAGACATGTGTGATATAGACCCTATGCTGTCTTCAACGATGGACTCCGTCGGATACGGGGTTAATGCAATTATAGGTACAGATCCATCATAAATTCGTGTCATAACGCAGGCGAATGGGACATGAAACGTTTCGACAATAACGAGATCGAATTTGATTTTCTTCTCATTGACAAATCTGAAACCAAAGATTAATGTCGCAATTTTTGTCAGTTTTTTTTGTTTTTCTTAAAAAAGAACTCTTTGAGCTGTAAGCAACTTGATTTATGTATACGTAGGTTTTTAGAGTGGGTGACGGGGTTTGGGTAATGTAGCCGCTGGAGCAATTTTTTCCTGTATTAAACCATTGATAGATGATTCTGCCTTGTTTTAAATTGACATATGAATGAATCTGGAATAGAACGCCAGGTAAAACTATATTTTAAGCCGATTTTCACCTGACGATCAGTCAAGAGATATAATTAAATCAATCCTGCGACTGGTGATGTCTGTCAATTTTTAAAATATCACTCCTAATAGGATGGCGCACGACCCGCGCCTCCATAGTAACACTTCATATAGCGTTGAGAGTCCACTAATTACCTCACACGACCAGTGTGTAATTTCCAAAGTCAAAAATTTTTAATTAAAGAAAGAAAAAAAAAAAAAAAAAAAAAAAAAAAAAAAAACCTATACACAAGTTTCTCCGCCAGAAAGCTCTCCCCGCAAGAAATCATTCACCACCCGCCCGCTGCGCCGCGCGCCGGGAGAGCCAGCAGCGCGAAACGCGCACTGACGCCTACAAACTTAAAGGGCTACTTCACGCATTGCGCAATGCTTGAAGTATCACCTTAGGTTTGTAGGCGTCAGTGCGCGTTTCGAGCTGGCAGCACTCCGCGCCGCAGTGTGTCTGTTCAAATGTAGGCAATTTGACATCGAATTCATAATTAGCGACTCCTGAAACATCAGTTACGAAACTTACGTGATCTTTCAGTCATTATCCGAATTTTGTCTTCTTATTCTTTAGTTTTGGTCCATAGTGCGCCGCGACGCCGGCGCTTATCAAATTCCCCCCTGTGCTCTATCGAAAAGATGGATGACTCAACCGCACTCCAAATATTCGCGCTCTTCACATCAGCTGTTGCCAAATTTAATTGGACCGATTAATTTTTTACTTGGAAACGGTTGTGCGGATTTTCGTGCAAATTTCAGCGAATTTTCTGCAGCAAAAAAGGATTTTCCTTAACATTTTCGAAGGGATTCGCACTAATAAAATGGTTAAAATTTACTTTTGTAAAACTTACCATTTTCACTGATTATATTTTACTGTCGACGCGTTTCGAGACCGAGTCAAGGTCCCTTCTTCAGGACTTGATGCTTGCGGCGCGACTGTTCCCCGGTTGCTGGTGTGATCGTTGTATTGGTTCTTTTAACCAGTCTTGTTAATCAGTCTTTCCGACGTTGTCCTCCTGATCATCGTTTCCTTTGAATGGACCACTAGACAAGGTACGAATTTTTAAACAATCTAGTACATGTTTCGTAACCAGAATTTCACGTAAAACACGATTCGCGCAACGAAAATTACTGAACTCAACTCCTAACGAAGATATTAAAGTTTTAATTTCACATTAGTTACGAGGAATTTGAACTGCCCGCTCACAAGAAACTCAAAGCTCCACGTGAGTCAAATCGCGCACTACGACGGTTTCAGGAAGCTTCTCAATCGAGCAATGTTCATTTCCAACCATGTGTTGTTTAGTCTATTAGCAAATTGCTGTAGCTGAGCTGAAGCATCAAGATTGAGGTTGCCAGATTTTTATATCGCAGAGACTGTCATGATAACGTTTAGCGCGCGATGTGAATCACGTAGAGCATTGAATTTTCATGAGCGGGTGGTTTGAAATCATGCATCAAGATTCATTGAATATCTTCGTAAGTAGTTAATTTCGGTAATTTTTGCTGTGCGCTTCGTGTTCTGCGTGAAATTTGTGTTACGAAACATGTATCAGAAAGCTGAAAATCGTACCTTGTCTAGTGGTCCATTTCCGATGTTGTCCCTCTTAGCATTGTTTTTCGGAATCAAATTTAAATGTTCTCTTGTGAAAAATTAAATTACTCAGTTAAATCTGACAATAGTTGTTGCGGCTTGGTTCCTTTCTGCGAAACGCGATCCAATTAATATACAGATTACTAAAAGTAAGCTTGCAATTACAATCTAATTCACGTCAAAAACCAAAAACCTACCTTTGAAATCGCAAGTGTGCGTCACTGAGCAGTTGTTGTCTTGGAATACCAGCTAAGGCTGGAAATTGCAAAGTGAATTCCCACCGCGTTATCGGTTTTTGCATATTGAAAGTATCGTCATCTTGAGTATCGTCCGAGAAATATTTATAAGAAAACGAGAGATCCACGAAGGTGTAATTCTCGTGATTGTCGAGTCCCTGTGACAAGTGTGAAAGTATAAGCTGATGAGTCAACATGAGCTGACAATCAGATTTCACTCCTAGATGGACAATAAAAATACACTGAAATACAAAAAACAAATGGGTATACAAGGCTAGAGGAGACATGAAGCAAGACTTAAAGGTTTTATATCTCCTCTAGCCTTGTACACCCATTTATTTTTTGTATTTTAGTGTATTTTTATTGTTGTCTGCATTTGGGCTATTGTGTATCTCTCGCTCCTAGATGGATATATATTATGAATTTTTATTTTCAAGATAAGTAAATATTTGAAAGTAAATCACAAGTTTGATTTTAGCTTTCACTTATAATGCAGTTTTTTTTTAAGTATCAGCCATCGATTTTCATGTATCGACTTTCCCGTGGGAGCGAGTAGTTCATTTGAGGATAGTTGGGTGTGGAAGAAATCGGGGGAACGTCGCGGTTGGGCATCCAAACGAGTTACTCGCTCGTATGGGAAAATCCAAACATGAAAATCCATGGCTGATACCTCAGAAAGGACTGTATTTCAAAGTTATAAGTCTCAAAATAATGAACTGAGCATAACATATATCCGATGACTTTTTAAATGGAAGAGCTAATTCCTCGCGAATGACGAAGCTATTGAATTTTAGATAAGTTTTTCAAGCAAGTAGAACACATTTATTTTTTATTTCACAGTTCAATTCGCCCAGAAAACTGTGCGGTTTTTTTAGCTACCAATAATCACGGAAAAAAGATTGGAGGACACCCACATTTATGAGGCTGCATGATTTTTGACCCAGGTCGACTTTTTGGTGAGGATGATATGCCAGGATTTACAATGCGTTTTATTTAGACCTCGATTATCTTCATAGTTTTGAAGTCTTCTTGGGTCCAAAACCAGTTCGTTTACAAGACCCGTTTCGTTGCGTGTATATTCCAAAAAGTCTATTCAATTCAAATTCACATTCCTTTGCTACCAAGTTTCTAAGAATGTTAAACACTTCTTCAATGCAGAGGATGAAGTGTAACTTTACGGCTATAAATATACATGGTATGACCAATTTTTGAATTATTTCAAGCTATCGTAATGTCTTTGTGGATTCGTTTGTGTTTTGCACCGTAAATGTGCTGCTTGAAGTCTTTCTGAGCGTCCAGATTCTTCAGGACTGTCCTGCTACGTTCGTCTGATGTGCTCCAACAAGAGCGAACTTTTTGGCATTTTACCGACACGCAGTGGATCGAGTCAATAGGTGAGGTCGGACAAAGTTCGGAAAAGTTAACGCTTATAACTCCGATCATACAAAACTTTGAAATTTTGGAAAAGGCTCCAGTGGTTTCCGCGCGACATTGTCCTGCATGAGCACTCCTTGAAATTAAGATTTGACGAAATAAACATGTAAATTTGCAGTTTTAGTAAACAATTTCATGTCCGACCTCTCCCATTGACTCGATCCACTGTGCAACAGTCCTGCTTTCTTTGCCATAAACTCTCTTCAATCGAAAATCTCGGAAGTAAAACAGTGTTTTACTAAATAAAAACTTTCCAATCGGTGGAGAGGTTACAAATATTGGTAAAGCAATCTCCTCAATGGTTGTATTGTGTTTACTGTTGACAATTTCCTTCCAAAGATTTTGTATATGTTTAAGTAAGGCTTCACTTGGAATATTATATCACCAAGAGCAGCTTCGGAAAGATTAATGCAACGACAACGCCAAAGGTGAACCTTTTAAGAACGTTGGTCGGATATGCGTCCTTTTCATAATTGGACGTATTTCTATCAAACGGAACTAAGCGCCAATTTGAGTTCCTTTTGAGGAATTTAGAATCCCGGATAGCGCGTTTTGTGAAACGGACCTAAGCGCCATGGAAAAACATTGCGAGTATAGGACGGAATGAGCCCGACGCCCGGTTCCGCCGCCAATTCAAGCCCCCCTCTACCTTCCTCACCCTATGGCCTATGGCCCTTAGGGCCCCTAGGTCCGTTTGATAGAAATAGAAATTCGTCCGATTAGTCATTCAGATTACTTTAAGTGATATGGGAAGATTCACGCTAGTACGATTTTGCTTACCGGTACAGGATTTGGGCTGATCACGAACAATTCGTGACCCCTTGTGATTAACCGTTCGGTCAGAGCCATTATCGAACGTTGATGACTGAAGGAAGGCGTTGGGAAATACACCAAAATTTTGTAGGCCTCCAAACCAGCAGTCAGCACCATTATTGTGAGCAAGTTTTGAATAATCATTTTTCATCCGATTTCCTGTCAAGTGCTCCTCAAAGCTGTGTTGTGTCGCAGATAATATAGTTCTCGCTGTAATCATAATTGTCATAACTATGCATGAGAAAAAAAATCATGGATATTTTTAAGACGTGCCATCCACAAACTGATTTATGTCAGGAAAAATGCAGCGTCGCTAAGCAAGATACGCGTTTTTTGCAGTTTCATCGTTGTCTTGCAATAATTAACGTGTCCTGCATTCAAAATAAAAGTTGATTTACGTTATTTTGCCTTGACTGAACGACTTAAACTCAAGTATTGTCCGCCTTTATTTAAGTTTAAAAGTAGTTATAAATGATAAAAGGGCGATTTAACAGTATTGCTTCATTCTGAAATCCTACCATATCTACCGATATGGAATAAGAATAAGAAGGATAATAGATTCTTAAGTACATACCTTTACGAGATCGTGTATCTGCATTAACTTAAATCGAGTGTAACCATATAGATTTTATTAAAATTTAGCACACCCTCTCACAGAGTACGACTTCTTTTCATGGTCAACTTATCAAAGTGAATGAACGGTATCGATACACTCGCGTTAACGACCTACCTTGAACTTTTGATGTAGAACTTCTCTAATCTCACAACTGCTCCAATTTATCTTCTCACCCTTATGCAATGCATGGAGAAAAAAATTCTGCCAGAAATATACTGAAAATATAACTTTAAGAAATTAACGGACTAATTTTTTTTTTTTGCTCTAGCTTTGTGTGCCTCAGGGGACAAGTTTTCTATCAACCCGGTCGCCATGAATTGAATTCGCGTCTGGGTTAACCTGGTAAACCTGGTTTCCCACCAACCACTAAATGAAAGGAATGCCTCGTTCCAGGGGACGAGCTAGTTCCCTCCGACGTTTGCCCTAACGTATCCTTCAAATTTGTCTCGCGAGGTGGGGAAGCGTTTTCGTCTTCCGCAAACCTGGTAAACCTGGTTTCGGAGGGGAAGAAATCTCCGTCGGAATAATGTATAAAATAAAGGCGTGGTTTTTTCAGAGAGAAAACATCGCATTCGATACTGATATCGAAACTGCACTCGAATACGATATTTTCTCTCTGAAAAAACCACGCCTTTATTACGTTGAATTTCTTTGTTAAAATTGGTAAGTGAGTGCTTTAGACTCCTGACAACAAAATTGCGATTTCAAAATAGGAGAAAAATGACGAGTAGCTGAAAATATGGAACCAATTGATGCGATATATCGCATGCCGTTCTGACACAAAATATGGCGTCCATCGAATCACTTTAAGTCTAATTGAGGCGAACAAAACTTCGACACCCCTGTTTAGTGTTTAAACTTTATGCGACTTCGTGCGTTTCTTATACATTCAGTCCGAATGCGACTAGTTATAATTAATAATTTTCTAAAAAGTTTCGACTGTAGCGCTCGAAAGCGCTTTAAAAAAGCGGGTTGGCCTTGGATGGAGAAAGGCTTTGGTACGTTTCCTCCACCAGCTGACAAAGTCCACTTTGTGACGGTCTCGCACGAGGAGCATTTTTATATCGACGGTGAAACTACCAAACCACGCATCTCGTTTGCGGTGTTTAAAAATCTACGCTCGCATTTTATTTTTTGGAAGTAGACCAAATCAATATCATTCCTTAAAATTTTCACAGAATTTTCTCCGCACGAAGAGGAAAAATCACAGAAATTTTCAAGACTGGACGTTAAGTAGTTTTTCATTTAAAAAATAAAGTATGACAGGAAGGTCGCAAACCGAGATACGTGGTTTGGTAGTTTCATCGTCGATATGTAGCTGTAGCCTCACTGACAGAGCTTGCAGGGAATCCACCGGGTGCTTTCTTTTCTCGATGTTTTTTGGAGGATTAAAGGGAACCATGTCATAGTTGGCACTCATACTGTTTTCTATCTCAGTTCTCTGTGCTGTTGATTTTGAAGCTATTGATGATGTTGCAGCAGCAGTGGGAACAGCACCAAAATGCACATCCTCTCGCAGGTTTTCAGTATCTTCGTCGCTTACTTCCACTTCTACCACTTGTTCACCTTCAAATTCACTCTCACCCAGAATATCTGAATCAATTTTAGGACAAATACTCCGTTCTTCCTCTTATAATCAAAACAAAATAAATGAGATTGAAATGTATAAACATGATCAAACAACAAGAGCACTGCACATTATTTTTAAAAGCGGGGACTTCATTTTTAATGTCAATGTCGAAGAAGATGTTGTTGCTGCGATGGGTGGAGCCTTTGATGATACACAATTTGCAGTTCGTGAAAACACGGTATTGAACGGCTTCTTCGTGGACGCTAACAGCAACTTGTTGTTTGCTACGTAAGATTGCAATTTACTGTAATATTCGGGAGGTAGGACCTTTTTCGGGTTAAGATTCCGCATATCCTCTCCCCGATGGGACACTGATTCAGATTTTTGTTAGACAAGCAAACCCCAACATTCCTGAAACACCCGTCACGTTCCGCGCCGCACAGTGGATCGAGTCAATTAGAGAGGTCGGACACGAAATTTTTGACTAAAACTGCAAATTTTGGTGTTTATTTCGTCACACTTTACATTTCAAGAGGTATTTTTAGCAGAAAATTTCAAGAGGAAACCCATGAAACCACTTTCAGAATCTCAACGTTTTGTATAAGCGGAGTTAGAAGCGTTTAAAGTTTCCAAATTTTGTCCGACCTTTCCTATAGACTCGATCCACTGTGCGCCGGTGGCTCTTGTGTTTACGTTAGTGTTGTGATTTGCTTGTCTAACAGTAACTTTAACTTCAATACCTCATCAAACAGTTTTGGACAGGAAGAAGTGTTATTGGAATGTATCGATCTCTGGCTTTGTAAAGCGAGAATATCCTTATATAATAGCCTTATAATAGCTTTTGCATTATTTAATGCAAATCAGTAAATAAATAATTCTAGGGCGCACTTTTTGTGGACTCAGTTCACCTGATCTGACTCGCTTTAAACCGTTTCCTGTGCGTTTAACAGGCAGTGGCCTCCGAGATGAGGCTCCTGAGAAAGATCTCAGCCCGCTTTCCATCAGGCGCATGTCAGAAAGTAAAACTTGAGCTTTTCGAAACGAATATTCATTAGGGGATGAACGGCAAACGTTTCCTGTAGGTCGTTGTGCTCTACCAACGAAACTCTTAGAACATTTACTGTCACAATTAATCTTAAAAAAACACAAAATATCACAATACACTTAACACAAAATATCACAATACACTTAACACAAAATATCACAATACATTTAGCACAAAATATCATAATACACTTTTCGAAACATATACATTAGGATATCAACGGCAAACGTTCCCTGTAGGTCGTTGTTCTCTGCCATCGAAACCCTTTAAAATAATATACTCTTCCGCCTTTAAAAGGAGATTTCCGCAGGTGTGGTAGTAATGGAGAAACTAATATTTTCCCTGGTACAAACAATTGTCGCTCCTAAGAGAATTTTTTTTCTCCTAATCAATAATTTATCCCTCCGTAGTAAAGGATATGTTCCCTGGAGCAGGAAGTTGTTGCTCGGTTGAAAAATACAGGCACTTTCAGCGTTAACATCGAAACTACCTCTGTAGTGGGTACTTTGCTTTATTCAAATCATTTTGTGTAAAATCTGACGAGTTTGTGGTTTCCCACGTTCTCAATTTCAATAAATCCCGTTTAACGATTTTTTCCTTTTAAAAGTTTCAAATAAACGTTTTTATGAATCATAAAGATCTCGCGCACTCGCACTTCTTTGAGTATTCAGTGTTCACACTTACTTGGAGCATGTCAGAGAGCCTTCAATTTCTTCTGATACAACTTTCGACTCATTCTGGTGTGCACCTGATTGCGGACGTGAATTATTGAAGGCAGCATGAATAGCTTGCGATGCGTGCTTAACGTCTCTGTTAACCGGAAATCTGGGAGGCTCAGGTAATTTTGTGAATGATGCGGAGACTAGGAAAAAGTTCCGAAAACATTTGAAAAATTACGTGTTTGTGTATCTGGCGGACACTCAGTCAGTATCAAGGAAAGCGTATGACAAGCGATCATTACAAGATTCGTAAAAGCCATAAATATCAAAATTCAAACTGTCCTTCTGTAGGAGAAAATTTCAGCATTTCCTATTTCATATTCTTCGCAACAAAAGTTGCAACAAGCCTAAATGCACTTAGGAAACTGAAGTTCAATTGCGTGCAGATTGCTCAAAATCCGCGTAAAATACCGAAATGGTAAATGAATTTCTTGTAAGCCGAACACTCAATGTTTGCAATTCAGAACACATGAGTTCGCATTGACTCCGTCTTGCTAGGAAATGAAAGGTTTCCAAACCTCCTGATTGACCTCGCCCAAAAAAAACCCTCGTGATTCTGTTGAAGAAAGGGGGAAAAACCCGATACCAAATTTTAAAGGAAAAATATCTTTGTAGAAACCTTAGTGTTAAAAATGAGGGGAATCGCTTGATAGCTTATTTGTGAACTAAAAATGAACATATTTCTGCCAAACGGAACTATGTGCATTAAGGCATGATCCCTGAGATCCATAAGTTTATATGCATTATAGGGATCACGGCATAATGCACATAGTTCCGTTTGGCAGAAATACGTCCAATTGTAGGTACTCGATTTTCTTCTCCATCGCTAAAAGTCCCTCGAAGGATCCATTATCCTCGGAAATATCAAATCTTCCATGGTTTAGGACACAGAACTTTTCAAACTTTTCGCTTCAAGTACGGGTGACGGATGCGATCAAGTCTGCGTCCTTTTCTGGGGTTTGCCCTCAGCCCTAAACAATTTTTCATGTGTATTTTATCACATATTCCAGTTCAGGTAGACTTTTTTGGATTCAACGTGTTTCACGTGGATTTCGATCAGTAGCTCGTTCAATGCGAACATCCAACATTCGTCGGGGAAAAACGCCGTATGAACAGTTGAATGTTCTCTGATCCTTCTTACAATTAATTTATATAATTCTTGAAATTGTTGCTTGTTTCTTGTTTTAGAGGATTTAATTCTCAATGAAACTAACGTGTCCGAAAAACGAGGGGGAAAATATTGCGTGTCTTGAAAAAGTACGTATTGTATTGGAGAAAATTTAGTTGAATCCGAATGTTCTTTGGTGTTTTTCAGATTGAAAAACATGATTGAAACTAAATTTTGCAACAAGGATCACTTTTTATCAATCTAAGAAGCAACATAATACATGCTGCCATGCCAAGGAAAAACGCGGTATGAACATTCTACAGTATCCAAATTTCCTTCCATAAATTGGCTATTTTTTCGGAAAGTTACGCATATTTTTCCCTGCAATTTTATATTGTATTACATCAAATTGTGAACGAAATTGCAGAAATATTCTCATCATTTTTCCTGTAAGTGATTTTTTTTTTATTGAAGTCGGTATAGCAACGGCTGAAGGCTCTTGCTTGGTTCTTCCTCAGCACAACAGTATGGGTCACCATTTTCCTTCATGAGGAGAAGTTCCTCTGCTATTAAGACAGGTGAAGCAGTTTCCTATCGCAAAAGTATTTAAATTGCATTTTGAACTCAACTTTGAAGCGAGATTTGTTTTAATGTTATCATTTTTATTTCAATAATTTTGTATTTATCTATTTATTTATTTATTTTATCATTGTAATGAACTTGATGCGATTGACGCTTGTCGCTGCCTTGCGTGCGTTTTTAGTGGCAAAATTCCAATGTAGAATTTTGAGGTTCAAGGGATTATTTGTTAATACATAAATCTAGTGTATAGGAAAATATAACATAAATGAACATCAATATTTACAAAAGAGGATCTTTAATAGGTAAAAAAGTGGATTGACAAATCACAAATCAATAGGTGAGGTGTATGGTGAATGTGGACAACATTACTAATGTAGCCATCTGAAATTCATGGAAATACTATTTGACAAAGGAGATACATTTGATGGGTAACCAGAAATTAAATTTGAACATGAGTTCAACATTTCATGGGAGTTTTATCAAGAGTACAAAGAAGGTATGTTCCGAACTTTTTTTTTTGACGCATGGAAATGTTTTGTTTTCCAACATCGGTGGGAAATTGGATATGCATATCGCGCGCTCAAAGTTTCGAATAAGTACAGTTCCTCTCTTTCCGATAATGCAATATCATAGCTCGTTCGAACGCTCGCTTTACGTCCCTTTTCCCGAAAGAATGTAATTATAAGCTATATTTTGTTATCACAGATATTCATCTTGCTTAATTTAGTTGAGCTATTAAGTTTTTCCTTGATTTCCAGTTTGAAACTTAGAGCAATTTTTAACACCCCCACCTTCGTTTCATCAGTTTTCCTGTGAACAATATATGACTCTTGTGTCAATCGTGGATAAATATACAAATCGATCAATCGAAAAGTATGGTAAACGGTTGTGGTAATGAGATGGCCATTTTTATCATACTGAATAAGGAACATTGGTTTTGAACGCAGAGAACTCTCAGCACTGCAAGCCGATAAGATCTCCTCAACACAAACTTTAACGGTTTGTTGTGCAAATGGGCTTAATGCAACACTGTTTCAATGCTATGCTGCCGTGCTGAGGACGAACACCGTACGAACATTCGAGAGTTGCCAAATTTCCCCGGATAAGACATGTATTTTTGACGAAACTTATGCATATTTTTCCTTAAAATTTTCAGATATTTTAGATTAAATTGCAAACAAAATAGTCGGAAAAATTGGAAGAAAAATATTTAAAATTTCCCCAATAAAACCGTATTTTATCATAGGAAATTCGGCAACGCCTGAAGGTCCATACGACGTTTTTCTTAGCATGGCAGTATGCACCTTTGTCTCTTTTTTCATTTTATTTTGCTATCTTCTCGTCATTTATTTCAAAGAGAATAATCTGAGATACGCGTGTTTTTAAACTAGATCACATTAGGAGCTTTCGGAGAGTCTCTGGTCGAGGTTGAAACTGGACTTAACCCCAGTATCCGTAACCGCCGTGACGCCTTCCCCATCCGTGACCGCCGTAGCCGTAGCGGCGTCCGTAACCTCCGTATCCTCCGTAGCCTCCCCAGCCACCGCCGTAGCCCCAGCCGCCGTATCCGCGGCCGTAGTAGCCTCCGTAACCGCCGTATCCTCGGCCGTAGCCGCCGTAACCGTGTCCCCAACCGCCGTAGAAGGTCTCGGAACCGGATAGGTCACTTGAGTCGGTATCGTCTGAAGAGGAGTCCTCTTCGGCGCGCACGAAGGTTGCGATCATGACTGCCACCAGGCAGGCCAGTAAAAGGATCTGAAACAGGCGAAGGATATACGTGATAATAACTTATAGGATAAGAAAGTGTATAATGGAAATGTTGCATGTGTGAGGAATTTGCGATTTTGAGAGTTTGTCATGATGTAGAGGTGGACTCTCAGGATAGCGTGGTATATCCCCTCCATTTTGGCCTTAACTCGATAGCTTTTTTTGAGCTTGGGGGTTGATTCCAGAGAAAACCGGTGCGGTGGCACCATCGTGTTTTTCGCCGACTTTTACATTAGAATCAATGGTCAAATCGCAAATTCCTCACACATGCAACATCTCCATATCCCTTTCAAATTATTGCATTTTTAAAATGAGGAATACACACGGTCAGCAAAGTGGCATTTTCTGTAAGTGTTAAAAAAAAGGGCACATATTAATCTAAACAAACGGTCCCATTAGCATTTTTCAACTCGAAAATTGCTATATTTTAAAATTGAGTCGCGATTTATTTACGGTTTTCTGGTGATGAAATCGGTAGGATCGTCAATATCTGAGCGATTATCGTCAATTTTGTCCCAATTATATTATTATTATATATTAAACAAGGCGCGCGATCGGGTAGGATCGAACCTAAATAGATTTGGTTATAGCGCAATGGCACGATTGGACTAAATTTTGCAATTTTGAACTATAAATTCTAGTCCGGTTTAAAAACAACGTATGTGCCATTATTTTTTCTATGCACATAAGTGTTTTTCCAGAAGAGCCATAATTTATTGTTCCATATTGCAAAGTGCAGTCCAATTTGACGTAACAGTTTAATGCTGGCTGATTGCGAACGACGACGATACCTTGCGAATTTTCTCTCCATGGTACAGTGTGCAAGTTCTGATTCAACATAATCATGCACGCAACTTTTGAGGCACTTATATTTTCGTCCGTATTTCAGGCGGAACTGATATCGAACGACGAAACGATACCCTGCAACGTTTCTCTCCATAGTGTGCAAGTGTGGATTAATGTAATCACACAGACAACTTTTGAAGTAACAATATTTTTCTCGCTTTTACTCGCCGTTAATTTTCAAAGGTCATCCCCAATAATTTAAAGATGAAATGAGGGGTGGGGTTCGTTTAGGATGTTTTGTCTCTCGATTGTTTTTACTCCATCCATAATTTTCGAGCGACAAATAACTGTGCATCGAGTCAAATATAATCCTCTATAAATTCCTCACTCGCCATTTTTAAATGCATCAGTTCTTGAAGCTCCAGAATGTCAATGTCGAATATCAAAATGTCAAGAAAGCAGATTTCCTGTCGCATAACGTAATGCGGGAACAGACTCGAGCTGGGAATAAATTAAATGCGCGACACCTTTCAAGAGTAAGTAATGAAATCAGCTGCCTGTTGTAAACTCAAGTGGATTTCCTGCACGTGACAAAAATTTGCAATTTAACCATTTTTTCGCATCTGAAATTCCTGATGCTAACTTGCCAATAACAATCGCGGATGAGACGTTCCTTTGTCATCAGCTGGACCACATTTTGCAATTCGGAAGTACATTTTCAAGCTTAGTTTAGAAACAACCTATTTACAATTAGCATCTTTATGTACATAATATGTTTTACAAATGAACCAAAAATTGTAGTCCTAATTTATTGCGATATAGTCCAAGTGATGTTCCACCATCACAGCCACAACTTTGGCCACAAAAAAGTTTTCGGGACAGAGTTTAAGGTACGGAAAGTCTGAGGATTTTATTATGACGTGTTCCGCCCAATTAATGATAATCAATATGGTATAGTACTCAGCGCCGCATAATGAATAATACGACGGTTGACATTTGACAAAATACATGAGGTCCCATCTAATGGAGTTAGCAAACTAATTATACATTTATCAAACAGACAATCTTTTGCTAGATGACTTTATTATTCCAATTCCTGTGTCCGGTTCGTCTGTGGCGTTGTTTGTCATAAAATATCTCCTTCTCAAGATTTTTTTTTTACCATCGGAGCGATTAAACAACTTTATTTTATGACACTGTCACTAGCATAAAACTGTTAACATTAGTTTTGAGAATTTCTCCACGTTAGGACGCCCACGGCACAAGAAAAGAATGAAAAAAACCGAAGTTTCTCGCGATTTGTGCCAGTCGAATCAATTTTTTTTAACACCGAGGACTCACGCTTCATACTGAATTGTTCTCGGCTGATAGCACCTCGGAGATCAGAAGAAATCATGTCATTCAATTGCTGAGTTACGTATTCAATATCGAAGGCAGCATATCACGCAAAACATGGTTATTGAACATTGCCCTGGTGTAGTTTGGAATCTGATCGGCAACTAAACTAACTCTGTGACAAAGCGTAGAGTATCGCAAAAATTGAAGGTGCTCTCATTCAAGATCATGATTTGAAGGTCATTACACATCAAACCCTCATTATGCTGCTATGTATTAGTGGGCTTCATTTAAACGACTCCTAACTGATGAATAAGTGACATGCAAAGCGATAGACAAAGAAGGCAAAGGGATTAGATAGCGGTCCTATTAGTGGAAGCGGGTGGTTGCAATGGACAAAGGAAGTAAGTAATAGACTAACGACAACCCATGAGAGACCCTTTAAGTATTCCATCATTTTCCTCGTTAGTCTATGAGAACCACCTGTTTCTACCAATCGGTTTACTTCATGGTCTCTTTGTCTTCTTTTTCCATTAATTTCAATGATCAGCCCGCTGAACTGCTCGCAAATTGGCGGTTATTGCCAATTGCCTGCGACATGTGTACCATTAGGGGTTTTTGGGGAAAATAAGATTTAGCACGTCGGAAAGGGAGAAAGAACGATTTAGATGTCAGATAGTGGCGTGGAGTACTTTTTTATGTAGCAATTGATCTGTCATTTTAATCTATGGAAACTTATCGATAAGCAGGCTGTTCGCAACAAACACCTTAATAATCGATTCTTCGCCGTAGCTGAAAGAGGGAATATCGATAATCGACCATTCACGCCCAGACACTGACAGGCTTGCACGGGTGAAGTAAAATATATGAAATATTGAAAATTTCCTTGAAATATTTCATACAATTTCAAAAAATCAGTTTTGAAAATCATGTAAAATATAAAGCATATTTTCAGGTGCTAGGTATGCAACTCGCATTAAAAAACACCTAAAAGCAAAAACCAGTCGCCTTTCATTGATCCCTGCATTGAATTTCGAAAAATATTTTTCATATGTTTCTGAAATTTCATGAAATATTTCTCATAGAATTTCATGAACTATTTCATATAAAATTTCATGAAATATTTCATAGAAAATTTCATTAAATAATTCAGGAATTTCATGAAATATTTCGTATGAAATATCATGATTTTATCTTTCATGAAAAATTGCAACCCTTGCCACTGATGTCAGATAGTCTTGTTTTCTGCGAGGAGAAGCAACTTATCGCCGGACTAAACAAAAATCGACGCGCACACCGGCGAAGATCCTCTATGGAATCCAGTGGCGTTGCGTGAATTGCGATACTTCGATAGTTATGACATTTAAACCTATGGAAAAGGATCGATAAATAGGGTGTTCGCAGCGAACACCTTAATAATCGATTCTTTACCATAGGTTTAAATGGCATAACAATCGATACATCGCAATTCACGCCACGCCACTGATGGAATCCACCAACACCTTCTCGGAGGATTTCATCGCGATCCCCGGCACCTCACACCAGACCGCGCGGTAAAATCCCGGCCACCGCGGTAGCATGGGAACTCTTATCCGCGGTGCCGTGTTCCCCATTAAATTCCTGTTTTCGATACGCATCGCGCGTGTCTCACGCTAGAAAAATTGTCAATTCCTCAAAGAATGACAACTCTGATTTTTAAATATTTCATTCGAACTGGTTAGCAGCCACGAGATCGATCCTGATTAGGAATAACCGCGTATCTCAAATGCAAACTGAATGCAAGTGAGGTGATTTTTACTAAGCACGGCTGTCGCGGCGCAAGTGTGGAGAGGCCCCTCCGGATGAACTCGAACTCCTCGTCGAATCTGAGAGTGGCTCTTTGCTCATCATTCCCGGGTTTCCCCGGTGGCTGTCACTAGATTGATCTTCAATTTTTTCTCTCTTTCTCAAAAAAAAAAAAAAAAAAAAAAAAAAAAAGACGGGGCTTGGGATTTATCAATTTTAACAATACTGTCAGATTCTACTCAACATGTACGCCGCCATGTTAGGGAAGAACGCCTCATCAATATTCAAGAGTCGCCTAATTTTCCCGGGTAAAATACGTATTTTTGAGGGAAGTCGTGCATATTTTCATTGAATTATTCTAGATTAAATCGCGAACAAAATTGCCTGAACATCTTATAGAAAGATAGTTACGATCGGACGTATTTTTGCTAAACGGAACCAGAGACAGGTGGGAAAGAAGACGATAACATCTTGTAGTAAGGAGCTACAGTTTTTGGCTCATCCGTAAAAACACTCGTATGCTTAGGTAAATTAATGGTTCATACGTTGTTTTTAAACTGACCTACAGCAATTGTAGGTCGTCAATGCAACATTTTGTCCACTTGAATTGACATTCTGCGTTTTTTTTTAATCTCGTTCTTGAACGAACTACACCATGTAATTAGAAACTGAAATTTCCGGTTCATGTGTAAAGACATATCGACGGTGAAACTACCAAACCACGTATCTCGGTTTGCGACGTCGCAGACTTCCTGTCTTATTTCATTTTTTAAATGAAAAACTACTCAACGTCCAGTCTTGAAAATTTCTGTGATTATTCCTCTTCGTGCGGAGAAAATTCTGTGAAAATTTCAAGGAATGATATTGATTTGGTCTACTTCAAAAAAATAAAATGCGAGCGTAGATTTTTAAACACCGCAAACGAGATACGTGGTATGGTAGTTTCACCGTCGATATGTGAATTTTACAGAGGGAAACTAACGGTACATAATTTGTTTGTGAACTGTGCCCGTAATTTGTAGTTCCCAATTGCAAAATTTAGTTCAAATGGGTATGTATATTATAGCAGGGCGCTAATCTGATGTCATTTCTCTTGAATGATTTCAATTGATAAATTTTCTTTTCTCGCAATTTTATTTCACTACCAAGCCACGCCACTCTTCGAAGTTATCGATCACTGACTAAGGTCCCAAAATCGCCCTGCCTGCCCAGCAAGAACGTAAAACAACGTGGCTCTGAGAATAACCAGTTCCGTTCTTTCGACTAGTTCCGCTGCAAAATTTTCCGCGAATCATTCGATAATTAGTCTTCCGGAACTGATTATCGGTCATGCAATTTTCCGAACTGACCTCGGCCAACTGCGGCGTCTGTCACTTCGCTTCGCGGTTATTCACTCTGCGGCTTGACCTTGAAAAACTGAGCTTTATCTGACGATGCGGCGGACATCTTCTCCAACGGTGGCCGGAAAAGATGATTTTATATTTAAGTATGCAGAACCGAAAGTGCGTTGAGTTATTTGGTCCTCATTTTGCATTCAGCAATTAATTTTCTGGCTTATCTGTAGAAACACTTTTTACACAGGGGAACTAATGGTGCATACGTTGTTTCTAAACTGAGCCAGAAATTAGAGGTCTAAATTGCCAAATAGACCGCGTTAAACAGAAAGGAACCAAGCCACATCAGCTTTTGCCTCTAATTGGGCAATTTAATTTTTTACATGGAAATGGTTGTGCGGATTTTCGTGCAAATTTCAGTGATAATTCTCCATGGTACGAAGCAAATTTCTTAAAATTTTCAAAGAATTCCGAACAAACGTTCTCTCGTTAAAAATTTAATTGCCCAGTTAAACTTGGCAATATCTGATGTCGCTTGGTTCCTTTCTGTTAAACTCGGTCCAAATGTAGTCCATTTTTCCTAATTTCTAAAAAACTGCAAAAAGTAGTAACTTTTTTTATTCTGGCAGTACATGGATTTTATTTCAGCTGAAGCCTGAATTACAGCGTAAAACCATGAAATGTACACTGGAAAGAGTTGAAAATTCAACATGACCGTATTTTAAGGATTTCCAAGAAAACAATCCGGACTTTTTTTCTTATTTTATTTGTCACTCTTTTTCACCATGTATCATTCTTATTCACTATCCTTTCATAACCATCAAGATCCGCTTTTAAACCAATGAGCATAGTATGTGTGAACCTATCATTATTCCTCACTGCGTGGAACGATGAAATTTTTCTATTTCTTCCCTTTTCGTCGCAATGACAGAGTGACCTTCGCAGAAGAGATTGACCGCACTGTATGTACCATTCACGATCTTAAATAACGCATGTCTCCGTTCCTGTTTCTCTTTGCGCATGCGTGACTACAGAAAATTAATAATATCAACGATCAATTACGATGATTTTTTCAATTGCTTTCCTCGTACAATTAGGATGAGTTATTTCCGAAGCGTCATGCTAAGTGATGACGTCTTACAGACGTCTCAGTCATTGTATCTTGAAGGGAATATCTGACGATTAATATTTAGAGAGTATGACACTTTCAATGCATGTTTTAAAGAATTGTAAGTGAGAGAGTAAGGGTGTAAAGCATTTAAACTGAATAATATTGTAATATTCCTGTTGAAATTTATTGAACAAACAACTATGGAAATTACGTAATATTATGAGCTTAAAAGAATTATCCAAATTGAATTAATTTATGTGGAGTCATTCTTCATGAGTTCGAGGATAATATCAAGTGCTTTCAATTCAGACTTTTCTGTAGTGCTTGTCACTCCCCTTCGAGCAACATTCTTCTAAGATTTTTTACTAGTCCCCCCCCCCCCCCATTGGAAAAGCTTTATTTCATGCTTTGCAATTCATTTTTCAACTATAAAAACAGACAACTCTTTTACTTGGAGTGTCACATACCTGGTTCGTGTAAAAAAATTATCTCAGAAAATTGAAACTTTCCTGTTTCTTAACGCTATAAATTTCTTTTTTTCCTCGCCTTTATAATTATACATATAAATAGTTGATTATATAATAGAAATTAGAAGTAATTCAAAATGGTATAATGAAGTGTAAAAAAAGGCAGATTATAGGACGACAAAGTGAATCTCGTAATTTAAAACCACTTTTAATAATCAAATGAAGAATGTAACAAAATGAAAATTTTTATCGCTTACAGTATCAGCAAATTACACTGAAGTTTTCGCAGAGAAAATAATGTAGAAGGTTAACAGAATCAATCAAGAATCGTATAATTTAAGCAGAGTGGATACGTAAGTGCAAGCAATATATTTTGAGTATCACCAAAAGTTTAAAAGAGTCAATTTGGACGAGGGTTTGAATAACCGGGTGGGGGGCGAAGGTCGTGTGACGCCAGTTTAAAAACAATACTTGGTATGGAAATAGTATAAATTTTAGGAGGTTGGCATGAGACATTCAATCATTTTTAGTCTGAAATGGTTAATTATACAAAGATTTTTCAAAAACAATCAAGTCATAAATATTACGCAAGAAATTAAAAACTCTAATTCGATTCTTACTCTCTCGTTTTAAAAATTAACGTACACCGCATGCTAAGTAAAGTACCGTTTTCTCCTCTTTCCCAAGTTCAATCAGACGAAGGAAGATAAATAACACAAGCAGAGTCAGAAATTTGGCAACACTTGATTTCTTTCATTCAAACCTATGTTAAATAATAATGATATATTACCATAGGTTTAAATGGAGAGAAAATTATGTTACCAATTTGCTGGATCCGCCAATGATAAATAATACTCGAATTTGATTTCATTTTGTAAACCGAGACCATAAAAATACGAACGGAAGGATGGACTATAGGTATGCACCGGACGATCAGATTTTTTTTTTTCAAGGCTGATAACGTTCAAATCACCATTTTTATCCAACTTAACGACCGAGGAAAACTACTGGAAAGGCGAAATGTAAATCGATGATTAAAGCGTTGGAAGGCAGTAGGCTCGTATTAATCCAAGAATAGGAATCAAATTGATCATAATGAACCGCGTCAAGCGAAAGCCACCTATCCTAATGAAGTTATGAACCTTGGCACGGACGCGCTTTGATACAAGTGAGGGCTCAAGTTAAGTTGCACATGGTTTATCCTACTAATGTTGTTCACCGGCATGATACGTTTTTAACAAACCAAAGTCACCAGAAAACAACCGATGGAAATGTGTGTATTATTTTTATCGAAGCTACTAAGAATCAGTTGGATATCTTGCCAATCCGGAATTTAAATTTATTTTTAATTTTAAAACTGTGATGAAATTAAAAACCTGTCTTCCTACTATTGAGGTATTATCATTTGATTTCTCCTTGGACGATCCAATTCGATAGGCTGAATGCAAAACCGGGTATCTTAATGAGGATGTCTCAAAATTTCCGCCTCTACATTATTTTTTCAAAGGGAAACTAGCTAACATCATAGATTGACATTTAGGCAGAATATTTTGCTGACAGGGAGGAAAACTGAACATTTAAGAAATTCCATTGACTTGTTTTTCGAGGGACAAATGAAGTACAAGAAGAGTAGGGTATTGTTACTGATGTACGGAAAAATGAAAGTTTGTGTAATGTTTAGTTAGAATGTCAACATGCATGCTAGCTTGTGTAGCATCTTGAACGGTTAAATAATGCGGATCAACGTCCTGTTCGCTTAAAAAATGAAAAAGCAAAAACAGGAGTTAATTATTTACTTCAGCGTTATTCTTCTCCACTTCACTCCCTAAATATTTTAAGTTTATGCATCGCGCCAACTTAACGCTATGCTAAGCTATTCAAGCTACCGGGGAGGTGGATCTAATGGACTAGTTTTCTACTCAGTCGTTGAAGTCTCTCGTCAGTCTTTTTTTCGAGCTCAATTTATTACTCATGAATCCTTTGTGATTCCTTATAGGTACTTCCAATAAAGTTTTAAATTAATTCTATATGTCAGCACCATCATGTTACAGTTTTGATGTTTAATTTGAATTCTCGCAGTCATGTATTATACTAAGAATTAAGATATAGTATCCTTTCCGTACGTTTACTTATCAAATAGTAATTTTAATACGCACAGCTATGATTATAAATTCGCCAGCAGTTCCTAATTTTTTCATTTATTAATTGCCTTTTAATATCATCAAAATTAATCAGTTTAGGTATTCATACGACTTATCCGAACCACTGACAACTTCGTTTTTTTTTACTATTTATTTTTTAAAAATCGGCTTTTTGATCACTGGTCCTTATCGTCGTATGTTTTCAAATTCTCCGTTTTTGTCAGTTTTATGATTTAGTAATTATTCCGACCTATCAAGTTCAAAGCATAATGAAACGCGTAAATACTTGCCGTGAGGTTGAATCGATTATTTTTTTAAAGTTTTACCATATCCGTCAAAAATTTTGCGAAAATGGGAGTGTCGAAAGTTATATTTTAAAATCGCTTCCTATATATTAAACAGCGTGTAAATGAATTTCTTGAGACGAAATGAGCTCATTTATGAACAGTTTGTTTCAACTGTTCAAAACTACCAATGAATCAACATATTCCTTGAAATAAACTGCAATCCAATTATATGGAGTGTCAGCCGGCAAGAAAACACATTCAGTCGAAACCATCGTTGAGAACAATACGCACTACGAAGAAACACGCGTCACGTGGTAGAGGTCAGCGTAAAACAAGTGCAACAACCGCAGAATCCGTAAACTTTTAAAAACATAAAAACGAATAAAAATATGGAAAAATTTGGATCCTTACTTTTGTGATTGACTGCATGGTCGTATAGGTTCGTATACCGAGTGTAATTTCGCGGAAAATCAACGTTGCGTGGATTCGCACTGAGAAGTTGGCTAATACTCGAAACTTTCCTGAGGAGGGAAACCGTTTTTAAAGGAAAGAGCCAAGACAGTCTTGATTTGCGGGGCGCGCGAAGCTTTTGATTGGTCGAGAAGCCAGCGGACACACCCCCGTATTTTCTGGTTTTCATTCGCACTCCGGTAAAGTGCAACAGACGACCCGCCACTGCAGTGTTGCCAAATCCTAAAAATATCGCGGTTTCGAGTATAGATGCATTTTCAAGAAACTGATAATAAAATACGAACGCGAAGGGGGTTGGTAGCTGTGTCTGCCGTGCCGAAGAAGAACGCCGTATGAACATTTCAGAGTTGCCATGATAAAACATGTATTTTTGATGACGTTCGTGCCCATTTTTCTTTGAAATTTTCAGATGTTTTAGATTCAATTGTGTACTAAAATGTCTAAAAATTTTGGAAAATAATATTCGCAATTTTCTCAGTTAATTCGGTTTTTATCGGAGGAAACTGGGCAACGTCCAGAAGCTCATACGGCGTTTTTCCTTAGCACGGTAGTGTTGCGGTTGCGTCTATTTTACGGGTGGGAAAGGGTCTGAGGTCCCGTCACGTACCGCTCAACGTCGTATTTTTGACTTTTTCAAAGATAATTTATTTTTTCCTGGTTGGCAACTTTATTTTATTTTAACATCTTTATATCAATTTTATCCAAGCTTTCTATTTCGTTTCAATAATTCCTGTCTATTATTTGAATCTCTTTAGGGAAATGTCCTAACCTCTTATTTTGCGGTATTTTCCTTTCATTCTCGCATCAACTTATTTAAATACGGCGAAAATGCACAACTCCGTTCACAAGAGAAACTGACTTAAAGAACTCAAATTGATTTTCTTATTTTTTTTAAAAAATTGAATTTTTATATATTTTTTTAAAATCGTTTCACCTTCTTTATTGCTTTAATACGTCTTTTTTTACCTCGAATTTCTTCATGAAAATCTTCGGATCACTCATTTTGCGGTAATATCCATTCATTTTTCTCCCAACTAATTAAAAGTGTATGCAAAAACGCACCCCTTCATTCACAATTGAAATGGGCTGCAAAAACTATTTTTTTTTTTTTGGAGGGTGGGCTAGGGGGTATCGACCTGCATTATGGTTGCGTCGCGAAAGAAGGGAGGAGAAGTTTAGAGGAGGCATAAGGATAATTTTTTAAACATCCAAGTAATCTCAGGCTACTTTCTTATTGTGTAAGCTCATTTTTAGGGTCAAAGTTGACACAGAAGAAATGCATGATCATGCGTAACCACTGTTGCAGGGAAGATAAATATGGATGAATTAAATAAAAAAACACATGAAGCGTTCGAATTAACTTTTTTAGAAACCAGTCGCTTTAACAACCAAGTGTTCTTGATCAACCGTCGAAAATCAATCGTTGTTCTTTGAAATTGCTTAGCTGTCTCCCATGTTCTTCAGTTGATCAAAATACACGTGTGTTGTTAATTGCTTAAAAAAAGAAAAAGAAAAAAAAAAACCAATAGTCTTAGACGTTCGGGTCCTGGATGAACTCCACAGTGTAGACTTCAGATCATAAAACCAAAACATAATAATTCTGTGAATGAGCTTCGAGCGCTTTGTGATTACTTGAGATTATTTGGACGTCTGAAGTACATAAGCCTCATAATGGTGGTTTCATTTTAGTGACGTGTACTGCCTCCTCTCTTTTAAAGTAATAGATATCTATAAGGTGATTTGAAAATGTGTGAGCTGCAGGTCTTATAGTTATAAATTTATTTTGGCCTTCATGAAACTATTTCAAAATTACCCTCTGAATTCGGCAGTACCTACGTTGCGAATGATGTTCAAAACTAAAGTGTGGACGAATCAAATACTATTTCTCTAAAGCCTAGAATTTTTTTAAAATTTATAATGTTTAGATAAAATATGCGGAGTAAGAAATTACTACTATTTCGAAGTTTCTTTTGGACGGCTCATATGAGTGCCCGTGTGTAAAAGCCTGTGGTGTTGCGGTGTCCGTTATTTATTTCAGAAACACCATTTTTTTAGAAATTTTAGTCATATAATTAAAATTTTGTGTAAACCTTTTTTTTTCTTTAGAAAAAACATGCTAATTAAGAAATTAAAAATATTGGACAATATATTTTGGACAGCTCTTGAATGTTAGTGTTTACAAGCTCGTGATGTCGCGGTGTCTTGCGGACGATTCTATTTCTTTAATTGTTTTTCTTTTACGCGCATCCGAAGTATTTTTTCTTCTTAAATATCTGGGCTTTTAAAGCTCAATTACCGACGAAATTCGGCAACATTTCGCCGGATGATCTCTATTTTTTTCTCCTCCGCAGTGTGCGAATTGTTGAACTTGACCTTCTCGGGAGCCACGGTTCGGCACCCGCACGCACCACTCGGTGATTCATAATCCTGCCGGCAAGAGCGCGGTGTCGCCAATTTTCACCGAATTGATCATTTTTCCCGTTGAAACTTTGTTTACTTTGGTGCGAAGTGGCAACGTTTGCGTGGCGCAACTTCTTCGCTCGGGTCGTCCGCGCCGGGAAATCCAAGAATCGCGGCAGCAGCCAAATTTTGAAAAATTTCTACGATTCCTGATGCGAACTTTAGGAATTCAAAAGGGTGGAATTTGGGAATTCAGTGTATTGACATTTTATTTACCTAATTTTCCTGATCGCTTAAACCGGTTTCAAAATTTCTTGAGAAATTCTTATATATCTGTAAATATCGTTGTATCATGCAACGGAACTGCATAGATTTCGAAGAAAATTGATCAATGACTTTTTCTATGCTAAGGCCGTATAATCCCGACTCAAATTTTTAAAAATGTCAATTTGCCTCAACAATACTTTTGAAACTTCCTGTGATGCTTTGCTGGTATACACTGGATAAAAAAAAACACATTGGATCTAGAGCCCAGACTCTTGAAAACATTGACAAGAAAAAACACTTGATTCAATCAGATTCATGCTTAAATCAAAAGGAAATCTGCTTAAATTAAGAGGCTTGGTTCTTGATTCAAGAAAAATCCGATTGAATTTGAATCAAGAGTATTTTTTCTTGTCAATGCTTTTAAGAGTCTGGACTCTAGATTCAATGTGTATTTTTCCCCAGTGTAAATAGCGTAATATTTATTACTAGTATACGGGGCAATGCCACTGATAGTATATATTTTATTTATTTATAAACAAAGAAGAAACCGTACTAAAAGAGTTTAGTGACTTCTTTCATAAATAGAACCCTTGGTTCATTTGAGTGAAAGGCCATTCGCTGAACGGTATGCATCATGAAACAAATTATCAGACTGTTGTCTTCGCCTAGTTATATTCGAGTTTAAATTCAAGTTGTGTCTTTTTTTGTGTATTTTTCAACCTTAAATGCGCTCATCTTGAGATCGTGAAAATCTCACAAAAATCTTTCACCTTTTATGCCCTCTTATGAAAAACAAATTCTATAAATATGCCCCTAAATTATACAAAATTGACAATCCTGAATCCATCCTAAACTAAACTTGTTCAAAAAAAAAAAAAAATAAATCCTGAATCCATCCAAGCGCGACAGAAATAACCGACAAATTTACACAACATTCCTCCGCGTGGTAGTGTTTTTTTCTGGTTGTTCGTTTAGTTTTAGAACGAACGAATTAATTAATTAAGTCATTACATGAGCTGATTTTTGCGCAGTCATCATGGTGAGTCTAAATTATTGTGTGAATATACGAAACTTTCATTGCGATTATTCGTTGATTCTTTTACTTCTCGGTATGTAACGTGAGATGATGAAGCATGTTTCTGAATCCCCGGAGATTTTCGATTCCATACTGAAGTTCAAAACTGATCGTTGCATCTATCTTCGTGTTGAATTTTCTTTAAATGCCGATGTCTTAAAAAAAAAAAAAATGATTCAACCAAATGTTACCACGTATTTTGTAATTTAAGGATAGAGCCTTTTGCTTTGCCCAAATAACATTTTTGTGTTTAATATGTCTATTTCTATTTATTTTGTATCGTCAAAGGGTGGTGGATGGAAATGTCACGTGATTTTTTTGTGGAAAATTATATTTTACTACACGATTTGCGTTTTGTTTTCGGGTATACCTAGTATAAAAATGAGCCCTGCATTTTTTAAAAATTTTTCACACGGGTATTCGATTTCAAAGTTTAATTGTTGTGTCTTAATTTTTCATGTTTTCGGGTATACCTAGTGTAAAAATGAGCCCTGCATTTTTCTTCTTTTTTTTACACGGGTATTCGATTTCAAAGTTTAGTTGTGTCTTAATTTTTCATTTAATTTGTGCCCCCATCCCCCAAGTAAACCTACTCATGACACCTTTGATGCCGTCCTGAGTTGAAAAGTTTCCCCGTAGAAGGGCAAAACTCATTCGAAGCTTCGCGATAGTGGCTTTTTACAGTTTTGCCTTCAATTCTACCCAAAAGCGTTTGATTAACGTCAAACATTATCGTGTGTTTATGAAGATGCGCCGATGATGTACAATTGATTTTCAAAACTAACATACATTTTACAAGACGCCCCCCAACGGGCAAACTCTTCAATCGATTTAAAAGTTTTATGTCCCGGTGTCCCTACATCGTGAACTTGCATACTTAAACTCACCGATTGTGTCGTGTTCATCGCGATGAAATTGCAGGGTCGCTTGGAAGAAAAAACTTGTTAACTGCCAACTCTTTCTCGCACACACTGAATCTCCGACCAATTATCAGCAGCTATGATTAATAGTGATTTAGGGAATGAACCCGTGACACGTAAAACCCAGCACAAGCAGAGGTCATCGAGACACTAATGTCAACAAATCTCCGTTTCCTCGAATTGCATCCATGGATCGGCCATCGTCTTGGAATTACATAAGTTATTGTTCTCAAATGAGCCATGTCAAATTCTCTAGAGACCATTAATTAATTCGGGTTACTTCCGCAGTGCATATTTTACCCGTCAACAGACGATATATTAGTGCGATTTATTCTCAACGGGCGACTACACAAAGTCCGAACTAGAAGTAACCGTCACATGTCCATTCATCAAAATCTTACGTAGAAAACGGTTCGCAATACGGGAAGTTTGGACACCTCCTAAACGAGATTTGAACATGTGTTTTTAACAGAGATCAAATGGAGGTCAGATCAGGCAAATGACGTCATTTGTATTTTTGCCGTTTAACAGTCTTCATTTTAAACACGCATGTATCGTTTAGGAGTTGATATCGAGACCTCTGGTTATGCGTTTCGTTCTCTTCGCAAAATTTTAAAGATGTAGTGTCAAGTAATTGAATTTTTCTTACATTCTGAAGCTCTTTTTTGTGCCAATAAATGACGTAACATTTCTCCAAACATTGGTGGATATAGGCATGTATACAGAGCTTTAAATGTCTGTCTTTTGGCGGGTTTTTTGTCGAAAAATTTACATGCCACTTGCTAAACTAGTGCTATGAATATTTATACCTGATTTTTTTTCTTTTTTCAATTTTTTTTCCCGTGTAGGTGGATCACATAAGGAAAACCATCTTTGTTCTCCGAGCATGTTAAGTTTGAGCATATCAGGAGTAACTTTAAGTGAAATAATATTAGTTTAGAAAATAAAATCGGTCGAAAGCGGCAGGAGTACCCGCCCTTCTAGTGTTTAAGTTTCCCCGTAATTTGCATCTGGAAATATTTCTTATTAGTCGTTATACGTACCGAGAATTATTCATGACCTTAAGTTTGATAAAATTGGTGCTGTGGAGACATTTTTTGCAAACGCTTTGACATTTAAAGGCGCCTCGATCAAATATTTTTACCGCAGCAACGAATATCTATAAATCCAGCGTTGTTCTTCTGCCTATTATAAGCTGCAACTGCGCAGCAAGATGAGTTGTGACTCCTGTAAAACTTAAGGGTTTCCAAGGTTCGAGTTTAAATGGAGGTACGCTGTTACTGCAGTGAAAAGACGAAATGACATCGACGCCAGCGTCCTCTGAAACTTTCATTTTTCACTGATGCCTTGCATTCATTCTCGCGTAGTTTAACTCGAGGAAAAGCGGCACCGTCACGAACGTGTGTGTTTTAAGTGTAGAAATCACGGTTAATTTTCCTGGGTTTGATGTTATGGCGTCGCCCGTCATGAGAATTCGTCGTTTTATGTCTCATCGAATCTAAAAGGAGAAGTTATTTAATGGGTGTTTTTGTAAAAAGAAAAAAATAAAACTTGCTCTCCGAAAGAAAGTCCAACAAAATAATAGAGAAAAAGGTTCGACAAAAATAATACATTCAAGCAGAAAGTCAAGCACATCGCGAAATTTTAGAACTTTTTAACTTTCAATTTCGAAAATTTTTCTTCGTCGACACTGTGAAGTCCTAAGGTTCTCATTTGAATAATGCTCTCGTTACAAATCATTTCAGGTCAGGCAGCATTCTAAAATGATGGTTTTTAACCTCTGGAGCGTTTTTTTTTTTTTTTTTTTTTTTTTTTTTTTTTTTTTTTTTTTTTTTTTTTTTTTTTTTTTTTTGCAGTCTTATTTTACATCGATAAGGAAGTAACGTATCGCCCTTGTTCTAAGAAAGACTCAACTTGAAGATTGGAAAACTTTCATATTTTGCAACTGAAAGACTGCATGAAAAATACCATATTTTTGGCTCGGGCCTTTTTTTGGAAACTGAATCACAATTTGCTATACGCTGATAATTCACGGGCGAATTACGTGCTTTATTTTTCTCTTTTTTCCCCTTATTTTTCGTTGACCTTATTTTAAAAGAAACAGCTTAAGGGACGTGAAGATGGATAAAATGTGTTTTCGGATTCAAAAATCCTAAAAGATAGACTCGATTTACAAAAGGAAATACTGAGGGGCCATTGGCGGTCGAGGCTCCGCTACATCTAAATACTCCATGGATGGATGGTAACTCATCGGCATTTTACGTCGGGGCCACAGCAAATCTGCATAAGGGTGCGATCGCGCAGCCACGAATCTAGGAACCGCCGGCCGCGCATAGTCGGCCATAGACGCGAAACCATGGCCAAAAGCAGGAACAGCACGGTAATCGTGGCCTAAACTTGAATAATCATGGCCTAAACTCGAATAATCGTGGCCTAAACTCGAATAATCATACGCTGAACTAGGATAATCGTACCCCGAACCGGGATAGCCGTGGCCTAAACTAGAATACCCGAGAATCTCGTGGCCTAAACTGGAGTAGTGTTCGAAATCCGGGGTGTACCTCCGCGGAGGTCGGGGCGCGGGGAGGAGGACGACCTCCGCGGAGAGATCGGGGATGCTGCGGCGTGTCTCCTCGAGGCGTGGCAGGAACAGGTAGGTGCTCGGGAAGACCTCCGGGGAGGGGCTCTCTCCGTGGGGCACGTAGAAATATTCCTGCTCCTCGGAGGAGGCGGCGGGTGTCTCCAGGGACGCCTCCTCCGCCTCTTCCGCCTCCTGGGGCTCCCCGAAGATCGGGACCGCCTCCGTAGACTGGTCGTCGAAAGGAGACACCGATGCGTTGGAGTTCTCTCGGACGACGCGTTCGCTGGCGACCGGTTCCTCCGAGTCCATTTCGACACTTCTCGCGGTCTTCGCCGAGGGCGAAGCCGTGGAGGCGTCTTCTGAAACCGGTTCTGGGAGATCGTCCATCGCGGATAGGAGTTCCATGATTTTCCGGTCGAACTCCAGCTTGCCGGAAATCCATGTCGGTTCATTTTTCTGGGCTGGACTCAATTTTGTCTCCTCGGTTTTGCTCAGTTTAGGTTTATTTTCATCGGCTGGGTTCGATTTTGCCTCACTTTTCTCAACTCGGTGCTCTATGACCGGAAAGAGGGCTCCACGCGGCTTTTCAGCTGCGAAAAATTGATGTTCGTGTAGAAGGGGTATCTTCTTGGCTCCACCGTGTTTCAAATCGTTGTCCTTGTCGTCGTTCTCCATGAAAAGCCGCTCGATTTTCCTCTCGAGATCCTCGTCGAGGTCGTCCTGAGGCTTGCTACCGGTCAGTCGAGCGACTTCCGGTTGATCTTCCTCGCTCGACGCCAGCATTTCCGTTCGTCGATCGACAACTTCCGGTCCGGTCACCATTTCCGGCGACTGCTTCAGCGCCTGCACGAAACCGGACAGCACGCTCGACATCATGCCGCTCAACAGGCTCGACAAGCCGAAGTTGTAGCCGGAGCGAGTTGCAGGGCCAGCGCTATCGGTGAGGATAAAATGCGTCGTCACCTCCGTGACCGGCGCCATCGTCGTTTCCGGTCGGACGTCGTCGACTTCCGGTCTGCGCTTGGCGATTTCCGGTTGGCGCTTGAGGGTTTCCGGTCGGACTTCGTCTACTTCCGGTCCGCGCTTGGCAGTTTCCGGATGGCGCTTGAGGGTTTCCGGTCGCTCGATTTCCGTTTCCGCCGAGGGTTGGCCGGCGGCGTCCTCGTCGAAGAAGTAGCGCCCGAAGCCGGGGAATTCAGGGAGCTGGAAGCTGAAGAACTGGTTGAGGATGTCATCGTAGATCCCGCTGCCCTCCCGCTCGCTGGACTCGGAGGAGGCGGGCTCGTCGATCTGGATGACGATGATGTCGAAGTCGGCCGGCGGGCGATTGGGGCGGAGGGATGGAGAGGGCACGGCCGCGGTGAGCGCCGCGCAGCATAGTAAAGCAGTCTGTGGGACAGAGAAACGGATCGATTAGAAATGCAACGACTCTACGAACGAGTGTATTTTAGTCACACGGAGAAAAAAAACTTCGTGCGTGGGACCCGAAGTTTAGGTCATATGGATATCTGAAGTTTTCGGTTCTCGCATCTGAAGTACTTCAGATGTAATAACTGAAGTTTCAGATGTGTGATCCGAACCTCAACAGCTAGATCTAAAGTGTTCAGATGCTCAATCTGAAAACTTCAGAGATCCATATGACCTGAACTTCGGGTCCCACGCACGAGGTTTTTTTCTTCGTGCACGTCTAAAACAAAAGAAAGAAAAATTGACGTCGTGTAGTGGCAACCGGAAATCGTCAAGCGGAAGTGGATAAGCATCGACCGGAAACGACATTAGAACCGGCCAGGAGACAAATCGAAGCAAGAAAGTATTTAAATGTAAAAAATTACTGTAAAATAATTTTCCGGAGATATTATTCGGACCGAAAGCGTCGTTTCTCGTCGGACACATTTTGGTTTTTTTTTTTTTTTTTTTTTTTTTTTTTTTTTTTTTTTGTGGTTAAAGCCGCGAATTTAACCTGAAGTTGGCTTTTTTAAGTAAAAAAACGTTGTTTCGTTAACTTTCCTAACTTTAACTTAATGATATCAAAACGATGAGTTTTTACTCAAGAAACTGACTACAAGTTGAATCCGCACGGATTTAACTTTAAGAACCAAATGTTGTCGACAATTGCGCCGAATCAAAATAATATCTCAAGCAATTTTTTTAGTGAAACTGTATAGCACACTGTTTTTCACGCAAACTTCTCTCTAATATAAATCATTCGCACATTGTTTCATTTTAGGAGCATTTTCATTTTTTTCACTACTCTTTTCTGTTATTTCACGCCTTCGAATGTGGAACTGGGAGTAGTAACCGTAGTGTTTGCAAATCAACCTAAATTGAATTTTCTGCATCCCTAAAATTGAGACATTGAAGTAGAAGTACCGATGAGGATCATCTTTGTGCCCCCGCCCACCCTTTTCTGCTAATTGGAGGTATGTATTTGATGCAATATGACTCGGTCCTTTGATCTATAATTTAAAAGTATGTTTAACAGTGTAAATGATTTTACAGCACGCTTTAATCAGCGTTTTTGGGTTTTGGTCTGTTTGTGTGGTACTCTTAGTGTGTTATATCATGTTCTTTCCGCGTGTCTCCGCACACGCAGGAAGCGCGCGGAATCGTTTCTGCAGAGATACACATATCTCGACGCTTCTAATTTTGCTTGAGGGGGTCATCTATTCCGATGCCGAGGTGATTACGCATCGCTTACTCGTTTTTAATCACGTGCAATTTGACAGCGGCGAAGAGCGAAGTGGCGCTACGATCGTGTTATGACTACGTCTCTCGGCCAATGTCTCCGTGTCCTGAGAGACGGTGACACACTATCATTATGAACCACTCCGTGTGGCCGAATCAATCCTAGATTAGCCATCAGATACGCGTGTACGTAGACTGTTCGGAGCTGTTCACACAGTGGAATTGATGAAATTACATGGGTATCTGGCTGCGTCTGGCATTTTGAAAAAGGACCTATCTATATCTGAGCCCAAATCTTGTCATACAGAGATTGTGTCTGGTTTATTGTCATTTTCTAGTCAGCCCTCTCGGGAAGAATGGGAAATTGAAGACGTGATGTTTAAAAGTCGAAAGTGTGTCCGCATGTAAAATGGACTTCCCTGGCAAATTTCCTGTTAAACCCGTGCGGCTTTAACTTGAGGTCAGTTTTTTCCAGTTAAAGAAGAGTTTTTTGCTATCGTTTTTTCCTACTGAAACTTAACGATAGCAAAATAACGTTATTTCAGTAAGGAAAACTGACTCGAAGTTAAAGCCGCACGGATGTAACTAAAAGAAGAACGAATTTTGTCGGCTAGAAATGAAGTCTCAAGTCAAAATAATATCTCAAAAATTTTTCTTTTCAGCGCACAGTAAAAACACGATGCCTCTTACCGTTCGGGTCCAGAAATTTTTCCAGTTGTGATACAAATAAACGTTTCATGTGATTTAATCGTTATCGAATGAGTTTACATCTGAAAACTTTCTATTTCCAAAAATGCGTGATGTAAATCTTGTTTATGTAATTACCAAATTAGAAGAAAATATAAAAAAACTCGCAAAGTCTTTACAAACTGAACTCCGCTCAATAATTCACATTTTAGAGAAAGATGAAGAACTAGTAGAGGGGGGAAAATCTGAATGCTCAAACAATATTCGTTAGTTTATTCAGTCATGGATGCTTCGTACGAAAAATTTATGAACATTTACTTTATGCTCATCCAGCATTCCTATCGAGCACTGTACCTTGTCGTAACAATAATTCGATTACTTCGTACGTCGACCGATGTGAACTTTTGAAAAACTCACAAAAGCTTTGTGTTGCGCATGATGACGTCAAATTGCGGAAAAAGACATACGCTGAGTACGAGCATCATTGTTATCAAGATGTTGGGATTTCCTCAGTTTTCGTTCAATTTTTTCCTCAAGCGACTCACTCTACTCGCTTGCCAACGTGGGTTTCAAAAGAGGCACCTGGGCCGCTTAAGGAGGTACCCGCAACCCGCAGATGAACTGAACTTGGATCCTTCGCAAATAGCGTAGCACGTCAACGGGATTTTGCTGTGATTCCACCGATCGTGATGAAACTCCGAATGAGAGGCCCGTCCCATTTGAATAATCTGTCAACTTTCAAGTACGATTGATCACCGAGTGTTTTTTCCTAGCGCGTGCTTTGCTGAGGAATGCTCGAAGTGATTTCCTGACATGAGCCGTTGCACGTGGTTCAAGGATCTTGTCGATTTGGGCAGCATTTTGCAATTCGAAACTACAATGTCTGGTTCAGGTTGTAAGCAGCGTATGTACCATCCGTTCCCTATGCCAGGGTGACTAGCAACCAGGAAGTCAGGGAATGGAACTCTTTCGAGAATAACCCAGTAACTTCTTCAACGGCCAGGGTATTTTATGGAGCTGGGTTCCATGTAAAAATCAGATCCGCGAGGGGCCAGCTGATCGCGTTGTTGTGCTAACGTTTTAACCGCATTAACGTTATCGCATAAAAAAGTCGGGGAATTTCATCAGAAGAAGTCATGGAATGATACAATTTTTCTAGCCACCCTGCATGCGCACAAAACGTTTTGATGGATAAGCCAGTTCTTAATTGCATAATGCAGCCCCTATGCACTCCACTTTGAAATATTGGGAACTATACTTGTTTGCTCGGTTTAGAAACAGCGTAACTACCATCAGGCTCCCTATGCGCGTACTTATTTTTATTGATGAGCTAGGTATTGTGGTTCATAATTGCAAAATGTGGCCAATTCATTCTTTGGGTCGAGCATTTTTTGTGGTTTAATGATATTATTTACACATCTGCGTACTCCGAAATTTGAGTCAAGAAAATAAAATGTAACATTGTGGCAACGTCTCTCAATCAAATTAAACGAAACTTCTCACTCGACCATATTTTCAAGTGAATTTATCATGTCTATAATTTCAGAAGCAAGAGATATAAAAAGGGGGCCAGTACAGGTATTTGAGAGGTATTTAAGAAGAATTTACAAGTATTTAAGAAGGTAATTCTTGGCGTTTTGAGGTTTCGCACTGTCTCTTTTTCCCCGAAAACCTTCCTCCCTCCTCCCTTCTTTCCTATTCTCGATCTTGTCGAAATTTTATTTCCACAAAACCGCGTTCGATGCACTCGGAATTTTATCTCAATTTACCACAACTTTTGTTCGATAATAGCGTGATAGATCGCCGTCGATCTAATCCCGATTTTATGATAAATTTTGACCGCGTTTAGCAGAAAGGAACCAAGCCCGATCAGCTGTTGCCAAATTTAACTGGGCAATTTAATTTTTAACATAAAAACGTCTGTGCGCATTCCTTTGATAATTTTAAGAGTTTCATTCGATCTATGTAGAAACCGGAATTTGCACAGAAATCCGCACAACCGGGCTCATGTAAAAATCAAATTGCGCAATTGATATAGCGATATCATCGATATATGTAAGCTGATGTGGCTTGGTTCCTTTCTGCTAAACACGATCCATTTATTTGATGTAATCGCAATTTTTTATCCGATGACTTTGCGATCAATCGACGTTGATAAAATCGCGATACATTTTCCGACCAAATCGCACATTTTCGTGATCACTGCTCCTTGGGCTACCCCCAAAATCGTCACGCATTTAGTTTTGAATCATCCTGTGTAGTATCAATATGAGATCACAGCATCCAATCCAAAGTTGTACGGTTTCCCATACATATCAGCGGGTAACAATGCCCGTACAATGTGCTCGAGCTCATGAGAGGACTCAGGGGCCGGAAAGAGGCCTCTCGCTCTGGGTGACGCAATGTTAGCGGGCTTCCCGCCCGTGAGCGAAATCAAGCGCAATTTTCCCGGCATTTTAAGTTATTTTAAAGAGACTGCCCGCTCGTGACTTACAGGATAATTAATAGGTGCTCAACCACTCACTGACGCATTCGTTCCCGCGGGTGTAATTCTTGTCTCTGCCCGGGAAATGTTGAATTTCACTCTTGAAGCTCCTAACGGGACGTTGTCTTGTACTTTTTTAGGGTAAATTGATGCCGAGAGGTACTCCCCCCGACCGCCAAGTGGTTAAACTCTCAAAGGACGTTTTGCACCCCATAAGTAGTGCCCTTTAGCTTTGCAAGCTCTGTGTTCATTTGAAAAGACCATTCTCATTTTGACTGAGTTCATCAGAAAGGAACCAACCCACATTAAGTTGAAACCGAGAAAAAGACATCTGAAGTTTTATTCTTGCATAAGGCTCAATGTAAAAGATTAACTTTCACCCTTCTTTTCACAAACTAATTTCTGTTTTTAGACTTTCAGTTTCTGGCAGGAGAAAATAAACGCCTAGTGGAACTCAAAAAACTCAATTTTTTCGAAAATGTGCGCTGGTTCGTTTCTGATAAACTCGGTCCATTTGTGGACTATGCTCTAC